ATATATATATATATATATATATATATATATATATAAAATTAAAGATTACGTAGCGTTTCGGGAAAAGAGGGGAGAAAAGAAAATGGTATCCATAAAGATGCAGCCTCAGTCTTTGCAAAAATAACTCAGACCAGAGCAGCAGTCACGCTAACTGCGCTGGGGAGGCGCGGGACCCTCCTAGCCAAAGCGCTTCCCTTGGAGCCCCTGAGAAAGGCGATCGGAGGATTGTGCGATGCGAGTATTTTTTAGAGTATTTTTTACCGGTCAAGCTCTCCTAGGATTCCTGGAGTTCACAGACTATTGGGGGGCAGGAAATGTATTTGAGGAGCTAAGGCCAGCGGGGCCGTTGAACCTCCAGGCTGCAAGGCTAAAAAACAGTTCCTTTTTCCACTTTCTCTCCTTACGGCAAAACCTTAGCCTCCTTCTAAACAGTCTTCGGAGGCAAAGTTTTTTAAGTTTTCAACTCCGGCTTCTGCAAGCACCGGGACGCCAGCGCCGGTACAAAGCCCTGAGAGCCGGCCCCTCGCAGGCCGGGCGCAGCCGGACTTTCGAACAGAAATGCGGGTGGAAGGCGGCGGGGCGGCCGTTCCCGACCCATCCCGGGGGCTCCCCACACAGCGCCCGCAGGCGTGCGCTGGGCTCCCCGCGCCTCTTGCGGCTCGGACCAGGCTGGGGGGACCACCTTGGGTCGCCGACGACCCGGGCCCTTTCATGAAAGGGACTAAACTGCAGCCCACCGCGTCTACACCGCCCGCGCGCCATGCACTTGTCCCGCGCGCGGGAGTGCAAACTTGAGTCGCTGCCCCCCGAGCGCAAAAGGAAACTGAGGCCCGGAGACCGGCTTTCCCCGCACGGGATCGGCCCGCCGTCCCCGCCGCCCTCGCGCCCGCGGTGCCCCGGGGGCCCCGTGCGCCCCGACAACTGCGGAGGCCCGGGCCCGGCGGGTGCGCGAGCGAGGCGCAAGGCGACCGGTCCGCGTCAGCCCGGGCCCGGCGAAGCGCGGCGAAGCGCGGCGAAGCCCGGCGGGCGGCCCGAGGTGGGCGCCGCGGGCGGTACTCACCGCGCGCAGTGGAGAGGGCGCCCCGGCGCGGGCGGGCGCGGGTCCGACGCGGCCGGGCTGACTGCGGCGGGCACCGTGCTGCTCTGCCTCCGCCGCCGCTGCCTCCGCCTCCTGGGCTGCCGCGGCCGCTGCCTGCGCGGGGAGGACCGGCCCCTTCCCCTCCCCGGGCCGGGCCCTCCCTCTGCCCCCGCCCGGTCCCCGCGCCGCTGCGTGGGCGCGTGGGGGCGCCGAGGTGCGGCGCTGGGCTTGGCGGGCGCACACCCCCGGCGAATGGACGCGCGGCGCGGGGCTCCGGCCCTACCGCTGCCGCTGCCGCCGCGCTGCTCTCCGCGCCTGCAGCCCAGCGGAGCGCGCCCGCTCCTGCCGGTCCTGCAGGAGTCTAGGGCGCAGCCTCCTCCCCACCCACCGACAGTCCGCACCCCCTCCCTCCGCAACCCAGGCGCGGCCCCTGAGAACGGCACCTCGACAGTGACTGCGACGTTCATTCATTCATTCATCCACTTATTCATTCATTCAGCCTACGCTGAGCATCTACCGTGTCGGGTACAGTCCCCGCGAGATTCAGCTGGAGCAAGACCGATTTCGTTTGTGCACATGGGGAGATAGACCACAAACAAGTAGAGAAGCAAGGTAATTTCAGAAAGTTAGAATTATTATGGGGCGTGAGACTTATGTGCTGGGGGTGCAGGGAGGGTGATCTTAGACCTTTCCGAGGAGGTGACACTTGAATTATGAGCAAGGCCACTGCTGGTGCTGTTGGGGGGAGGGGGGGTGGGGAGAGGTGCGTTCAGAATCATAAACCTACTTTTCACCCACTTTACAGATAGGGAAATTGACGTCCCAAGAACCTAACCTAACTGGCTTACCCAAAGTCAGTGGCACAGCCGCCCCCCCCCCACACACACACTCGAACTGAGGCACCCCACTTACTCCATCCTCTCCTGGTCACCTTTTTCAATCGTCCCCACGATAAACTGTCTGGAACGGAGTTTAGGCAGCTCTTTTCTCCCTTCTGACCACTTCACTGTGGGGCACCCAGGATGCTTCCGTCCAAAATCAAGAGCAACCACTGCCGTTTGTTAAGCTCAATAAAAACCCGGGTCCTCAGATAAAGTTGAATTTCAACATCAACATTAGCATAAGCATGTCTTATGCAATAGGTGGTAATCTATTAAAAATATATTGTCTCCCTGAAATTCCAATATAACTGAATGTCCTATATTTTCTTTGCTAAACCTGGCAACCCAAGCTTATCCAGTGTGCCCACCCCATCCTTATCTCATAAAATCCCCAAAAGAGACCCAAAGATAGATGCTGTAAGCCTGCCCATATTACAAATGATCAAGTCCAAGTTCCAAGAAGGCAGAGAGTGGCTGAGCCAGGGCTGAAATTCAGGTCCCCCAGATCCCAATGCCCTTGATCTTGAGATATAATATCCAGATTCAACTCCAGTTGTGGGGCTCTAGGAAAGCGAATGAAGCTTAAGCTCCAGGGCCCCTTGCTGGCTGGCCCCGTTTCTAAGGTTCTGACATTTTGTACATTTGACATGAAAAGTGACCTTGCAAACACACTTCTCGGTTCCTGTTAACATACTGACATTCAGTTGCAACCAGTAAAGACCACTGTCTCTTTCTGTTCTGATTCCCCCTGTCCTACTGGATCCTGAGAGGTGGGATGGGAGTGGCCACGGCCATTTCAGAGATCCAGCTGAGGAAGAGCTGAGTTGGGAATTTTGTGATGTTTGTGGTATTTTTCAGCTTCTTAAAATCTGAATTTGTCATGATTGATTTTCTTAAATTCAAAGAGATATTCACTTTTGTACCTAATTTTGGACTTAATTATTTTTCTTCCACAGGGCTCCCACATTACATGTGCTGGAGGCCCAGCTGTACATCCATCCGCCTCTGGTCCAAGCTGGTTCTCTTCTTTCTACTCTCAAAACTTTAGGTAGAAGCAAGTGTATCAGTAAGCGTGGCTTACTTCCATGAGCTGAGTAAGCACCAGACCTGTAGCTCCTGGATGACTTTTCTATTCCTAGAACATGCACATGAACTTGGCCTTGATTTCCTCATCTCTAAAATGGAGACACCAGTATCCATATTATATGATCATGGTGATAATTCACTGAGACCCTTGCTTGTAAACACTCTCTACCATGACTGTAGCTGGTACTAGTGATGCTCAACCATTATTACTGTACACAGATCTTCACTCCCCATAGCATCTCGCAGAATGCCCCAAGTCATTATAAACTGGGTGTCTTCATGCTCTCCGGACATGTTTAATTTTTCTTCGCCCATGAGCCTTCATAGAATGTTATCTAAACAGTAGTGGTGGGTAGAATTTTTTTTTCTTTTTTTTCTAAAGGAATAGAATGGGGTAGACTGGCCTAGAAAATATGAAATGAACTGCATGCAATTAGAGTTTAAGTGTGTGTGTGTGTGTGTGTGTGTGTGTGTGTATCTGTGTGCTGGGTCAGGCCAGACAGGGTTTCTTCCTGCAGATCATGGGAGATATGTCGATGAACACATTAGCTGAGGGTACTCTGTAGAGTACAAAGGGTTAATCTGTGCCCCTCACATCATTTTACTCCGTCACCAGAATTTGGCCCATTATCTCATACATCGCAGCCACGCCCCACAGCACCCTGAGAGATAAACAGGAGGCAGGTGCTTATTAATTTTTTTTTCCTTTTCTTAGGGCAGCGGTTCTCAACCCCCCACTGCACATTAGAATCTCCCAGGGAGCTTTCAAAACTCCCCATGCTGAGGCCCCACCCCAGACCAATTAAACCAGACTCTCTGGGGGGAAGGACTGAGGCATCAGTATTTTTTTTTAAGCTCCCCGGCGATTCCAGTGTTCAGCAGAGGAGGAGAGTCCCCACCTTTGGGAAAATAAGAACTTGACCACTGAGTCACAGCAGATGAAGTAGAACCCCAAATGGGAGTTAAGGCTCCCAATTCTTATTGAAGATCACCCTAAATGCAGCTGCCTATGTACCAGTGCCCTCTTCCTGTCCCTTTTTTCCCCTTGATTTTTTGTCTTATGACGTAGTTGTCCTTGTTTTGTAATGACCAGCAAAATCATCCCAGACAATATCCGAAAATGCTAAACCATAAAGCAGACTCTTTGGAGTGCAGACCACAGGGGAGCCTACCCTGGAGTAAAACAATCCCTCCTCCCCCCACCAGAGTCTTCCAAGTACATGTTCTCAAAAGCCAGAAGACCAGCTTAACTTGGAAAACTACAAACTTCACAAAGTATCCAACATGTATATACATATCCTACAAGCACACATGTGTATTCTCTATGTCCTATCATGCCTTATTTCTGTACACATTCCTTTCCCACCTGCAAAGAAAAAGTACTCCTTTTTTTTTTTTTAATGCATTCATTTAAACCTTGGTTCTTTCCAAAAGGGATTTGAGGTAGCATGCAAAAACATAAATATACGGGAACAGAATAACTAAAAGAGGAAAAGCAGGTGAAGGGGAAACACAGGGAGGAAAAGAAAAGAAAGTCAAGATGTGGGCTAGGAGGTCCTGAGCACTTGTCGAATGGTGGGCTAAGAATTAGATGCTGAGTGTCCTGGCAGTCAAGGCAAAGAGGAAAAGGTGATCAAGTACATCAGTGGCTTTCAAATTTTCTTTTGCTCAAAAACAAACATGCGGAGAAGTTCAGGATGGAAAAAGGAACTGAGGGATCCCAGCCCCAGTCTCACACCTCTCTCCTGTGGGTACTTGTAGACAGTCTTGAAGCAACACCCAATTCTGCGGAGGCAAGATTGAAAACCATGGATTTCAAAGGGCTTCCCTGCGTTCATGAATCCCAATGCCTACAGGATAGAAACAAGCAGTACTACTTGAAGCTATCAGAACTTTGCCTGATACTGGTGCAGGAGAAAAGGTTTCCCATGGGTCCTTACAAAAGAGGCAATAAAGGAATGTCTGGGTGGCTCAGTCGGTGAAGCATCTGCCTTTGGTTCAGGTCATGATCTCTGGGTCCTGGGATCAAGCCTCACATCTGGGTCCCTGCTCAGTGGGGAGTCTACTTCTCTGTCTCCCTCTGCCCCTCCCCAGAGCTCATGCTCTCTCTCGCTCTGTAGTGTTCTCTCAAATAAATAAATAAAATCTTTAAAGAAAAAGAGAGACAATATGTAATGTGGGCAGGATTGGGGGAGCTAGCTTTTGGCAATGTGAAATGAAAAAATTCCCCTTTGGCAAAAAAATAAAATATTACATTCTCCCTAACCCAAGGGCACAAAACAGGCATACTTTGAACATCTCCCTGGTCAGTAGTTTCCCTGTAGACTGCCTCTTTGTATTTAATATCTAAACTTCATAGAAGGCATGACTCTCAAAATGATCAGATGAGTATTTATAAAAAATAACTCCTATTTGTATCCTCAAAACTCTGAGTAGCATTTCTCTCGGAATAACAGGTAGGACAGCAGGACACATAGGGAAAGTAACATTTCAGGTACTATTGCGATGACACTGAATCACATTTTGAGAAGTGCACCAAGGAGCAAAGAAGGGGACCTGCAAACAGACGTGGCTGTGTCACCACGTACACAACCTAAGTAAATTGCGTGGTGATCAGGAAGCCAGCCTTAAGCACTTGACCATCTTAACAAGCTAGATGGATAGTCGGTCCAGACTGTTAAGTGTTCAGTTCCACTTTAGGAAACTGTTTGGGGGATTGGGTTGACACATCATGCATTATAATTCTTCCCACTTCAAATAGGGGGACTATCCACTCTTGGCTGCAATTTCAGGCAGAACTCCAGAATTTCAGGATCACCAGTGCGCCGTGGAAAATGCTCATTCCCACGTGGAGAGGGACATCGAGACCCCCACTTAGGCTGCTCCCTCCGCCTGCACTAACCCTCCCTGAGCCAGGCCAGTGGTTTCATTCCAACCCATTCAGATCTCTGCCCCGTGTCTCTGCCCCAGAGAGCCCCTCCCTGAGCTCCCTGTCCAAAATGGCATCTTTATCCCACTGCCCCCCATTGTTCTCACTCAGCACATTTATCACACTGCTACCCGGTGTTCAGTATTTGCCTGTTTATCTCTATTCACGGTGGTCTCTCCCACTAGAA